ACTAAGCAATGCATTAATGTTTGTTTTTATTTGAAACTCCTGTCAAAATATACTTTACGTTACGAAGAAAATTAAATATACCGAATATTTTTTTTCATGTGAACAGTTTTTTTGTGACGTGACGCTTATCACTCTTCCCTGACATCTAAATTGGAGTTAGCTTATATTTAAAAGATTGTACGGTGTATTGTTTGTTTTGTGCAAGTGATGTGGGGGAAAAATGACTACGCCCATTTAGTGATTGCAATATGTACCTAATATAAACCGCACCCCGAACTTGAGCTGTTGATCACAATTTTTTATATTTGATACATTGTAATATAAACCGCGGTTTATAATAGGATTTTAACAGTACTATAAACAAAACTATGTATCTTAAAAAAAACTATATATATAACTAATGAGGACTGTATAGCTCGTTTATACTGTATTGATTCTGTGCTTAGGATTTAGAAATCCCACTGTGAAGTCAGTATAGGGAGCTCAGTAATCCCACTGTGAAGTCAGTATAGGGAACTCAATAAACCCACTGTGAAGTCAGTATAGGGAGCTCAGTAATCCCACTGTGAAGTCAGTATAGGGAACTCAGTATTCCCACTGTGAAGTCAGTATAGGGAACCCAGTATTTCCATTGTGAAGTCAGTATAGGGAACCCAGTATTCCCATTGTGAAGTCAGTATAGGGAGCCCAGTATTCCCATTGTGAAGTCAGTATAGGGACCCCAGTATTCCCATTGTGAAGTCAGTATAGGGAGCCCAGTATTCCCATTGTGAAGTCAGTATAGGGAGCCCAGTATTCCCATTGTGAAGTCAGTATAGGGAACCCAGTAATCGCATTGTGAAGTCAGTATAGGGAACTCAGTATTCCCACTGTGAAGTCAGTATAGGGAGCCCAGTATTCCCACTGTGAAGTCAGTATAGGGAGCCCAGTATTCCCATTGTGAAGTCAGTATAGGGAGCCCAGTATTCCCATTGTGAAGTCAGTATAGGGAGCCCAGTATTCCCATTGTGAAGTCAGTATAGAGAACCCAGTAATCGCATTGTGAAGTCAGTATAGGGAACTCGGTATTCCCACTGTGAAGTCAGTATAGGGAGCCCAGTATTCCCATTGTGAAGTCAGTATAGGGAACCCAGTAATCACACTGTGAAGTCAGTATAGGGAACCCAGTACTCCCACTGTGAAGTCAGTATAGGGAACCCAGTAATCACACTGTGAAGTCAGTATAGGGAACCCAGTAATCCCACTGTGAAGTCAGTATAGGGAACCCAGTAATCCCACTGTGAAGTCAGTATGGAACCCAGTATTCCCACTGTGAAGTCAGTATAGGGAACCCAGTACTCCCACTGTGAAGTCAGTATAGGGACCCCAGTATTCTCTTTGTGAAGTCAGTATAGGGAGCCCAGTATTCCCATTGTGAAGTCAGTATAGGGAACCCAGTAATCACACTGTGAAGTCAGTATAGGGAACCCACTATGCTTGTGTATTTGAATACACTTTAGGTAAATGGGCATTGTGTTTTGATTACTCTGGATATCTACATATTACCATATGTTGCACTCCTCCCAATTCCTGTGCAGTATTTTATATATGATTAGTAAAGTACTTAGTGAAAATGACAACAGCTGAAATGTATTGTGTATTTACAGTTGTGATTCTAAGAATAACTATTGGAAAAGTTCATCCATTGTAAAACGTATTACTAACAATATTGTGGCCACACAAAGTGGAAGACACTACGTGTTGGTGGGAGACATTAATCAAGAATTGTGCTTGTTACAGGGTAAGTATAAGCAAGTTGCAACATTGAAGAGCAAGTGAATGAAAAGTATTTTGAAATCACTGCAGTAAACACCTTCCAGATGATATTTTTTTTTTAAATGTATTTACTGTATATCATTATGTGACGGTTTTGGTCATTTTAATTAGATTGTCAATTTTATTTTGAAATTTAGGATTTTCCAAGAAATTTGTACGAGCTTTTTGTTATGGATTTCCAGGAAGATGGCAATCACTTGTAAAGAGTCATTTTAATTTGTCCAACAGGTAATAATGATTAATTGATTGATTAATTGAAGGAACAATTAATTTGTGGACATGACTAAATACTGCATAAATTATGCAATTAATAATTCTATATTACTGTGTAAAACTCGTTTTACTACCTTAAGCCATACTTGTCTTGCATCCAATCAATAGGAAGACATCAATTGAAACTCCAATTCGGCAATACCACTTTTATTGTCTTGCCAGAGCTCGACATTAAAGCGAGAGTGTCGTCATCTGCGCATGCACGGGAATTGAGTCCCAAGCGACGATGACAACACACGCTAAAAACGCAAAAGCTCATGGGTAGACACTTGTTTGTAAACAATGACACGCTATGGCCATCTGACGCATGCTCAGGTGACGACTCCCCCGCTTTAAGATTAGTTTTTAAAGTTTCATAGACTGAAGCTTCAGAAGAGATGGGTGGGGTAAGGCGTATGGTATGGTATGGCTTCAGTATGTAAAATTAAGAATTATCACCTCAGCCATACCATACCATATGAGTAGTGAAGTGGGTTGACTGTTTGCAGTACGATCTTTTGGCACTTATTTTGTTGGATAAATAGTTTTATTTAAATGGCAAATTAGTCATTTTAGAAGATTGAGCAATAACAGCTTGTGTCAAAACAGTTCACCCATATATGCTTGTCACAATAAACGTTGTGTTCTTAAATAGGTGTCAGCAAGTACAAAAAAAATTTTACTCTAATTAGGCATCAGAAAGAATTAAAATTTTCCAAATGTGTCACCTAAATTAAAATAGTTACAAGTACTAACTTAGCATCCAAGGTACTCACCTCCTAAAATCATGTTTTCAAGAGGGTGGACACTTAGTATTGCAACCCACTCAAAAAATTCAAATGACAATTTCAGTTCACTGTGTGCCAGATTAGGGGATTATTATGTCTTTTAGAAAAAATAAAATTGCGAGTTGCAGAAATGATCACAAAAATTTTGCACATTTGTTACGTTCCATCGTGCACAAACTCTTGATGCAAAACAATTCCCGCCTTGATATTTTTTGCTCAATTTGATCTACAGCAACATCCTTTGTCCTGATAGTCAAGTCTGTTACTACCGGTAACCATAATGCTGTGTTGTACTGACACAATTCTCCAAGAATTCTTGAAAGCATTTTCGTAATGCAATGCAGAAGTAAATTATGGATGTCAAGTACGATACAATGTATCTTGTAATTGATTTTGGTGAAAAAACAGCACCTTTGCCTAAAAAAAAACTATAACTGGTAATTATAACTGGCAGTTATTAAAAGGTTGAACTGAATGTAGAATCAAGTATTTAACGCCTTTTACAGTTGTGTCACTACGAAGCATAGTTTACATATTCACAACGCTCGTTATCCATGTTGTATTACACAAATTTGATTTTGGGTATTGAGTTTATATGACTATGCAGTCAAATTTGGGTCATTTTGAAAGGGATGAGCAGTTAGCCCAACTCGACACCAGAATTAGAAATGCTGCATGGGCACTAAGTCAGATAAATATGCTATTTGCCTTATTTTTGGTGTAAAACAGTAAATTTAACAGAAACCCCTTAATAGGTTATTTGTCTGAAATGATTGAACAAATTTAGATCATTTCGAAAAAATACCAGCAAATTACTGATGTCCGGTGAGCATCTGAATCACTACTAACATGTTAACATTGTATTTGTCACTTCACAGGCTTTCTGATAACAACAAAAAATGTGTAGATGTAAAGCCTAAAACACCTACTTGTAATAGTAAGGACAGAGTTAATTATCAAGGTAATCCTTGCTTCTATTCTCTATTGGTATGTGACCATTGGAAGACAAGTGTAACAGTGACTGATTTCTATTGGCTACGTCTCATCTATATTATTTATTACCTACTTTGTGCTTTAAAATTTACAGTAGCACACATCTCGTACTACATTAGACGTTAACTTTTAGTTGACCGTAGATACTTCGATCACACACTGAATCAAGGTGAATGAGTGTTTAAGTCATCTCTTCATATTTCAAATTTAATAACAAAAGTATAACACACAACAATGACAATATTTCATTGTTGCAATGGAAACACCCCCCCCCCCCCCCAATGCTTTCTGATAGTAATATGTTGTCACTGGTTTTAATTTTACAAAAATTTTGTGAGTCGTAATAAATGCAAAATTTTATGGCGGGTTATATTTCTTTGTCAGTTGACTTGGGCCACATCTCATATCCACTGATAATGAGTTCACTCAATTTCATTCATGTTTGTATGCAAATATTGCTTGTTTTGCACACAATCCTTATGCAAAAAGTGACATTATATCGTTTCTACACATAAATGTAACTCAACAATAATTGGATAAAAAGTGAAATTTTTCATAACAGTTGAATGTTTATTATTTTTTATTTCAGAATGTCAGACACCGACATCTACTGTTCTTGATTTAGAAAAACTTAAGACATCAAGTCGTGGTAGGAGATTGAAACCCCCATTAGCATTTTGGACTGGTCAACGAATTGTTTCCACTACAGAATGTGAAATAGTTGCAATAATTGATGGAAATCCTGCCGTATCACCAGTATGTTTTCTTCTGTTTCTTTTCAATACCGTTTTAGGCGCTCATATACAGAGAACAATGTAATGTCTTACTGATGTCTGTGTGAATAATGGTTGTAATGATTGCTTGTTATTTTTTCATCAAAAATCAAAGAATATTAATTTTATTCAAACAGGGCACTTTCTAGCATATCTACTTAGCTCTTCTGTAATCATAGATGACCAGGCAGTTCTGATATTTGTTCTGTAAATAACTTGGATGGTTTTTCCCGATGTATGTAGTTCTACAATTCAATATTTTCCTGTTAATACAGTTAATACCATTCTGCAGCTTTATCATATTTGTGATTTGATTACCTGCAATTCTCCATCACTTGTGATATTTCTGTAATTTTCGTAACAATTGTACTATAATTCCAGTGCTTTAGTTTTATTTGTCATTTTATTAGCTTTCTTGTCATCAAAATGACAGAGTAGTTGTCATTCATCATCCACCCATTAATAATTATATCTTCAACTACATACCTGATTTCTGATCTAGAGGTGTTTGTACCTTGAGTGGACCTCAGATAGATTTGTTTCTTTCATAATGATGTCATTAATTCTTTATTTTTAGCTAATATTTGTGGTAAAAAAATTATATTTTTGACTTAAAGGAAAGGTCAATCCTGTCAATATTGTTGGCCATATAGCAGCAGTTATGTACACTTATTTGAATAATGGACAAAACAAATTAAAAAAAGAAAAAATTAATAGAGTTATGATACCATATAATATTCCATATAGTCGCCGCCATCTTGGCAATTTTCAAGCGCCCTCTATTGGGTCAGACGAGAATGCGAGCAGGAGTTCTTTGTGCACTGTGACGTCTAAGGCTAGGTTAGGGGGTTACACAATGTATAATGAAGAGAAAAGTAATCACTTAGAAAGTCATAATTCATCGCGCAACTTTCAAGGGAGTGATGGCTGTCTGCAAATACACTACACTACTCATTTTGCCCAACCTTCCGCTTTTACAAAATAGAATTCCCTCCTATCGACTATCAGCAATCTAACATGTTTGTATTTTCCGCCGTGACAAAGCAGGAGTATTTTTGCACCCCTGTTTTTCTACTTCCGGGAAAGTGGTATATCGACCGCTTACTGCTTAATTTCCGACCGCGCGGTTTTGTCCGACCGGAAATCGACCGCATTTTAATTGTTTTTTTTGGCTCGCTCATTGAAAACACAGTCCGCTCGCCCAAACACTGATCACTGATACATGAGTGGTCGAATTGGTGGTTTTGATAGTGAAGTATGAAAATACTATTTTTAAATTTCGAACAACACTTCAAATCTATAGTTGTACGAAACTTGTATCGTTCGAGAAAGCAACTGCACTGGAACCTCCTGTTAGGTGATTTGGGTGCTTGTTCTAAATGTAATATTTTTATTTTATTTTAATGAGACAGTTACGTGAAAAAATGATAGCAAACTCCTTTCGACAGAGCGGAGAAACGAGGAGAATATTAATGATTAATTCCAAAAATAACGATACCAAAATCACGTCGGTCCACAGGCGGTTGGTATGGTAACATTTGACCATTCAATTTTCAAAATTAAGTCACGATCAGTGTCGTAAATTATTCCCACAAAATGATATTTTCGAATAAAACTGCCACATGCCCTGAAAAAATCGAACAGAGCTTGACATGCATGAATAATTGATTGGGCTTCAGAAAAAAAAAACGTGCCAAATTTAATTATAGTCATAAATATTTGGTGACCAGTCGATGAACAATTCGAAAATCATGATTCACACGCGAAAGTCCTTCGGTACTGAAAATCATCGACCCTACTCTGGTTTACCTTATTTCAAAACTTGCAAATAAAACTGATTCGCCGTGAACTCTAATATATCTCAGCTGTGAACTGTGGTCAAATCCCAGCCGTTTGTCAAAATATAACAATGTTTTTCATTGAATATTTTTAAAGCCTGTCACAGCACAAAAAATATGTGAATTGACGCCGGAGATTGGATGGTACGACGACCTTTCAATTAACATCAAGTATGCTTGGTTACAACATCATTGATTGGCTGAAAGTTACCTGATCGGAGTGCGACCTGGGTCACAGAACCATATTTGTCCGTATTATCACAAGATGGAAAGAACCACACCTACATTTTCAACCATTTTTAGTGCGGAAATTGCCAGCATCTGTCGAAAAACTCGTGAATGTTATGGATCGGAATAATATAAAGCTAGCGATTTCTAAGAATGGTTATTAATAATATATTCCTTGATGCTCTTCGAATTTATTTATTTTTTTATTTCAAGGTAAAAAACTGAATGGCAAGTTGAAGTTGCATCGACTTCAAGGCGGCGGTTTCACTGTAGTAGTTTCGTGATGTAAAATAAAATATATATAATAATAATACTTGTTTAATTATTTGGGTTTTCAGCCCCAAAAATACGGGACATGATCACCACGAATTACGGTCAATGTTTGTCCTGTCTAGGACCAACACCCGTCCTAAACTCAGTATAGAGAAACTAACGGGAATCAATATTCCGAACAAATTATTGGGACACGGTCGACAGACATTCCAAACAATCAAAATTATTAACAAAAGACGAAATTTTTCTAGATATTTACAAACATACTGTCATGACAAACACATGTAAAATTAACAAATACACAAAGAAGTGTAATATTAGCTTTTATTTTAGGCTTTTCTTTCACCCATTCCATGTATGGAACTGCCATTCAGCTTCGTGGTCCTTCAGCTTGTCTTCGCCTTGAGGAAAACAATAATTATACAAGTCTTAAACATATTACGAAGACTCAACAATCGGGAAAGAAACACCAGACAACCATGTCGTACTTGTGTTGAAACACATTTTGTATTTTACGTCAGAATATTGTTTAAAATAAAATATTTAATCCCAGCCAAATCGAGGTCAAAGGGTCAGATTGCGTGCATATAGTTACAAATAGTTAAAACAAAAAGTATTTGAACTTTTGTTGGCTGTTCAACATCTATGAAAACCAGAAAGACAATTATAAGACAATGTGATCATCGGAAATTTTTTGTTCGTCCTAATCTTAAATGTGAGCGGTTATTCCGGGTTTGCGCGTTCAAAAATAAAACGAAAATTGTCTGGTCGGATTCAACAAGCGGTCGCAAAAGCGAGCGGAAAAAAAACGATGCGGAAGCGAGCGGGAGGTTGGGCGAAATGAGTACTGTACTATGGATGCTCAAATGAACTAAAAAAACACGAGAAACGACAACGCTCTTCAAAAATATAAACCACACACTGCAGTACTCAATGAACTCACTATGGCTGTCCCTCAACTGAACCTAGCCTAAAACGTCACAGAAATGCCCGGATGTAGTATGTTAATTCTTAGCTATTGTTCGTTGTTTCTTATCTCCATGAACGGCGTCCATGGGCTAATTCAGGACATGTTTAAAAGTCACCCACAACCACAAGAATAATGAGAAAAAATAGCCCACAATTTGTGTCACCTTGACCTACACTTTAATCTTAAGAATGACTAGCCCGATTACTTTGATACTTGATACGTAGGTACTTTGGATCAACCTATTAATTTGTTCGTTCCCTGAGGCGAACCTCTGGCAGGTTTGTTCATTTTGTGACCATACCATCAATTTTCAATATGTAGTGAATATTTATATCATTCTTGGGTATTTGTATATCAAAGTCAATGTGTTTTTTTTTGTTTTTGTTTTTTTTTAGAGTCGATCACGAGATAACAGTTTTGTCAAAAGCAAACAGACAGCAAATAAAAGATTGCATGCAAAGACAAGAGATGGAAGGTCAAGATCAGTTAACTCTGTTGTTAAAGTAAATGATTTTGAGCCAGCAAGAAAAAGGAGAAAGACTTTGATGGTCAGTGATGATGATGATGATTCAAAAGATAGACAGCAACGTAGCGCAGTTACAGTAAATCAGACCTCTCTGTCTGATATAGTTAATCCTCAAAAAAAATACAATTCAAGATCAAAAACTAAAAAAGTGATCTCATCAAAACTCGCCAATAGTGAATGTGAGGAAGATGACCCACGCCAGAAACAAACAAGTAAAGTTTACCCAAATTGCATATTAACTGCTACAACAAGTAAAGACAACATGCCCAGTGAACCAAACCAGTGTACAAGACAGTATAACAGAGGAGTAAACAAATCACAACCTTACAAACAAATGAATGCTTCAAGAGGTAAATCGAAATCGTCTCTGTACTTCAATTCGTCTGATCTGAGTGAGCAAAGTGCTTCAAACGATGTAGTTTCCTGTCTTTTTGGAAAGAACATGTACAAACGAAAGAATCATCTGCAGCCTCAGGTGTTACTTCATGATTGTCATCGTTCTGATAATACTTGTTATGATCTGAGTGATGATGATCAGAATGCGAGGAACATAGCAAATGAACTTGCAGATAAAAGGTTGTCATGGAAACAAAAAGATGAGACTACGGAGGATGAGAGTGTGGCTGAGAAAGATGTCACAAGAAGTGGAACCAATGTTGGTGATGAAAAAAAGCATGTCTCTCCAAGGTACCCAAGGAGAAATATAAAAAGCAAATCTAATGAATCCTGTAATATTGAACCTGTAGTAAGTAAAAGGAAAAGAGGAAAAAAAAAAACTCGTTCTAAGACAAACAATAATGACCATGACAGCCATGAAATATGGAAACCTACAGCCAGGAACCATAAGAAGATTGAAATGGAAGACAACAAAAAAGAATTGAAAGATGATGGGAATAGTACCAAAAAAAAAGCACAGACCACTGTAACTCGCGGGAATATTACAAACAAGAAAGCACAGGGAAATGTAACTGGTGATAATTGTACAAACAAGAAACCGCAAACAAATGTAACTGGTGGTAATTGTACAAACAAGAAACCGCAGGCAAATGTAACTGGTGGTAATTATACAAACAAGAAACTGCAGGCAAATGTAACTAGGGAGAATATTGCGAACAAGACAGTACAGGCACATGTAACTAGGGGGAATACTACAAACAAGGAACCACAGGCAAATGAAACTGATGGTAATAGTACAAAAAACAAAGCTCATTCAACTGTAACGAGTATTACCAACAAGAAAGCACAGGCAACTGTAACTAGTGGGAATATTACAAACAAGAAAGTGCAAGCAGTTGTGAAAGGTAAATATAATTTTACTTTTGTTGCACAATTGTATACACATTAA